TATAATACTTATTAAGTTGATCAATTAAATAACATGAGAAAATTTATGACTTAATATAGACATCTCATGTAAAGAATTCTTATGATTACTGAATACATATAATTAATTAAAACAAATGCATCACAGTTAATTATATTAAGATCTTAGGAACAAAATTAAAAGAATACATCCTTTAGTTTGCTTTAATAAAATTTATATAGCTTAAAAAGATTTTTTTCTTATTTAACAAAAATTAATAAGAATATAAGAAGAAAGTAAATAAGTTATCTACCTTCGTGCTTCATTTGCAAGTTACAAGTATATTTGAACATTTTCTTACCGTTTTGATTACTTTTTACAGTAGTATAAAAAATAATTAATAAATAATTTTTCATAAATAGTTAATGCTTTGAAAAAAAGAACATCATGACAATTCAAGTGCGGTTGTGAACACACAGCCTATTTCCTTAATTTAAAAAAAAAATGCTTTTGAAATTTAACACTCCTTATAAGTTTTAATAGAAGAAACGTATAAATTTCACGAACAAAAAATTCTTTTCGGAGGAATTTATAAAAAGTTTTAATTTGAGCAATTTCAGTCGGGATAGTGCTTTCCAAGTCAAGTGTCGAGCAAGAGCAAAATGTTTTCGATAACAATTTTACTTCTGAATTCCGACAACATATACTGCTAATACAAGTATGAAACTGTCAAATTTAAAAAAAAAAAAAATTCTAATTAGCGAGGTCGTAGAAAAATACATATCAGAAAATTAATCTCAATAGTTCATAAATATAACACAAAATAATTATTTTAAAAATTAGGAAGGTTTACGAAAATAACAAAAATACATTAAATCTAATATATTAGTTAGTATAGGAAAGATAATATAATTTTCTGGGATTTTACAATACGTCTTATTTTAATAGTGCGTACCAAATAAATTTTACAAGAGAAAAATAAATACGCTTTTTGTGGTAAAAAATTATAGAAAAATAAATTTCTTAACTAATGCCCTTAGTAACTATGCTATAAAATGTTTCCTTGGCGACCGAAGAATTTTGTGAAAATCTGACGCAATCGAAGCGAAAAGAAGGCAATGAAAATCAACAAACATATTAAATACACTTAAGAAACCTAAAGAGTGATAGTTTATGGCCAAGATCATGACCTGTAACTCCATAGTCAAGGACAAACACTCAAAAAATTCATTATTCCACAACCAGTTTTTCATACTCATTTCAATGTTTGATAGTGACTAAAATGTTAAAATAAAAGTGAGCTCACCATATTAAAAATATAATACTTTCCTCTTGTTTAGTTGAGCTGTTGGCTATGATTAAAAAAAAATTAGCCGATATTTTATTAATGAAGAACTTATTAACCCAAAGAAAAAATAAAGTTTTTGATCTTAGAAACAAGAGGATCGATACATCGATTTAAGTTAGGCTGAACTTATCTAAAAATATACCATCTCCAACTAAATCGCCCTCTTTGTTTAGTGCAAAAACAATCAAACATTTGATATTTTAAGAAAAATAAGTTTGGTTTATAAAAATGTATTTATTATTACTGGACTGAGACATTATCAGGGAAAATTTTTTTAGATCGTAACTGTACTTAAACCTAATATACCTTCTACTTGCTTAGCAACACAACTTATGAGAAATCTCATATATTCTCTTTTTCGCTTAAATATGACTTTTTTTTAAACAAACAAGGCAATAGTGCTTCTCATTACTTTATTCTCTACTGTTTTTGCTGTTGTTGTTGTTCATTTACGTCGCACTAGAGCTGCACAATGAGCTATTGGCGACGGTCTGGGAAACATCCCTGAGGATGATCCGAAGACATGCCATCACAATTTTGATCCTCTGCAGAGGGGATGGCACCCCCGCTTCGGTAGCCCGACGACCTGCACGCGAAGTCGAGCACTTTACGGTAGCACAGTTTAACGAGAACCAATACCGCACACCCTCGGTCCCTACGCAGACTGATCCAAGTGGTCACCCACCAGCACACTGACAGCAGCCAGTGATGCTTGACTTCGGTGATCTGATGGGAGCCGTGTCTTAACGATCAGTCCACTGCAGGACCTATTGTTTTTGCACCTATAATGATTGTAAACATTAATTTACACTATAGCTTATAAATTTTTTAATTACTAACAGTATTATTTTTTAAAAAAAAAATATTATTTTTGAATTCTGTGGCTTGATAATTTTAATACTTATATAAAACATTAAACTGAAGATTAAATTCACTCATATTTTATAAAATAAAATTGAAAAGGAAAAACAATAGAATATAAATTCAGAAATGCTTTTGACGCAAATATATATAAAAAAAGAACAAATAAATAATTTCTTTTCTTCTCGAAAAAAAATATATTAAAAATGGTTAAAGTCACCAGACGAGGGAGTTAGGTAGTTGAACCGCATCTATTTGGATCGAAGCCAAGTGCTTACCCATCACAGTAGTTGTTAACATCTTGGAAGAAATTGTAAAAATAAAAATAATTTAGGAACTTAAAGTTTTAAACACGAGAATAAACAAGTTATTATAACGAAGAAAAAAAACACCATCGCAATTTTGACTAAAGTTGGATCAGATTTACAGCATCTAATCAGATTACGAGCAAAACTAATTACTTTTAAACATTTATATATTTTTGTAATGAAAAAATAATTTAAAAAAAACAGTAAATTCAGCACTTCTGCAACAGACAGTCTGTCGACCAAGAATGGTTGAGGTGCGTCGGTGGAGGTTAAGGTACACAATTTCTTGACTAACAGAATGATGATAGGAATGTGGTGGCATTACGTACCGCCCGCCTTTACTTCCAGGCAAGTTGGTAGGCACTCTTCGATCCAAAGCCGTGGGCGAACTTCCAGCTTTCACGGGTTTAGATTGTTGTTGTAGTTGTTGTAGTTCATTTACGTCGCACTAGAGCTGCACAATGGGTTATTGGCGACGGTCTGGGAAACATCCCTGAGGATGATCCGAAGACAATCCATCACAATTTTGATCCTCTGCGGAGGGGATGGCACCCCCGCTTCGGTAGCCCAACGACCTGCGCGCGAAGTCGAGCACTTTACGGTAGCACAGTTTAACGAGGACCAATACCGCACACCCTCGGTCCCTACGCAGACTGATCCAAGTGGGTCACCCACCCGCACACTGACCGCAGCCAGTGATGCTTGACTTCGGTGATCTGCTGGGAACCGTGTCTTAACGATCAGTCCACTGCGGGACCACGGGTTTAGAAATGCTATTCTTCACAATGTCAGTTCAGTACTTTAAACACTGTGCCATTGTGGCTCAAATCGTAATTATTAGATTGAATTATTTCCTTATTCTTAAAGAAATTTGATAATCGTGCCCACATTAAAAAAATTTTCAGTTTGTTGCATCAAAAAACAATTAACTATGCAAATATTATGCAAATTTTTAATTAAAACTAAAAATTTGCATAAATTTAAAATTTAATTCCTGCAATTTTTTTCCTCAACGTAATTTAAATTCATACCACCTGTTAAGCCAGTTTTCAGTAAACAGTACTTGACCACACCCAAAGTCCTTATAGTAGTAATGTTATTCATTTTTTTTTTTATTTTATTCTTTTTGCAAAACATTGTAATAAAAATCAATGAATTTATATTTTTTTACATGTAAATCGTTGGGTATTTTCTGTATAAACCGCCATCTTATATTTGAGACTTCCCATATGGTAAAGATATTTCAACAAAGAAATACATTTTTATTATTATAAAAAAACGACGATGTTAAGAAAAAGTACATATATTTATCTAAATAAAATTTATATAATATCTATATATATGTATATATATGCAATCTATAACAATAAATCAATAATATTTCCGCAGTTATAAATTTAAAATAATCGATCGTGAAAAAATGACGCAATAAGGTTTTATAATTTAAGTTTCCTTAAAATGAAACTAAAAATTCAGGATCGATCATAAATTTTTGATTCTAGAATCCCATAAGTCGAAAAAGTTTCGTGTAAAATTTACATAATTATTAAAGAGAGGAGAGTTTTAAACAAACTTTGAGAAAAATTCAGGACTGAAAAATATGGTTCAAAAATATTCCCTCTCAAAACTAAAAGTAAACATTAAAAATCATAGAGGTAACTTAAATTTTTAAAACAAGATTTTTATCAATCAAAATCAAGTCAATCATAACCAAGTTTATGAAAATCCGTGTATGATCAGTTTTAGAAATTCTGCCAAAGAAATATTAGATTTAAAAAATACGGTTTAAATCAATTATGCCGAAAAATACCAAAATTTATAGTAACCATTGCCATTACTGAATTTGTAGAATCCTTATTACGAAGTAGAGAATAAGATAATATTAAGATTAAAAGGTTTTTATTAATGATAAATATCAATTAAATGTGTAGGTTCAAACTAAACAATCATAAGTTGAATCGTAAAATTGATTAAAAAAAAGCCACCCATTCTAAATAAATGAAACTGATTTAATATATTAAAATAAATTGGATTTTTCTCTTATTAATCCTACTTAAAAATGAGTTTTTAAAATAGAAAAATATGCTGTCTTATTTTGGAAAATTAAAAAAATATATATATTAAATTGCATGATAAAAAAATCTCTACAAAATTATTTTACCATAAGTACCAAATCTAATACATCACATTTTCAAAATATATTTACTCATTTATTTTCGGAAAATCTATTTGTAATATATTTTTGAAGCGTATTGCTCCTAATAAAAGTAAGTTACAATAAAATTGATAAAGGCAATCACAGCAGTGCATTTATCAAACAAAATAATTGGTTATATAAATAATCATTAAACATTTATTCCAAACATGTAAAAACAACGCCCACGTGAAAGCCGGTGACTGAACATCACCTGATTACGCCCAACTAAATTTCAGATTTTAAATACTTTATTAAAAAAAAATCTGACAATACACTTTCGTTAATCACATAACTTAATAGAAATAAAATATTCTGAATAAATACTTACTGGATTTTTGTAATGCAAACCAGGTTCCTTTTTAAGGGGAGCGACAAGATCGGCTACAGTCATGATGATTACGGAAGATGGTGAGTTGTCGGAGTGAAATTCTAAATCAGATAGACGTGTACTTTTTCAGCTGACAGCAGCTGAAGTAGATTTGGCGAGTTAAAATGCGATTGTGCCAAATGGGTATCGCCAAGCTGAACTGTGAGTAATTTTTTCCGGGTACAATAATAGTGCAAGAAATGAGTAGATTTTTGATTACATAAAAATTTAACTCTGGATTAGACTTTTTTTTTAGATTTTGCATGATGCATAGAACTTTAAAATATTTTATTTTCAGATTTATTAGTTCTAAACGTATACATATACCTGTACTGTAAACTGTAATATTATTCAATAATATATAAATATTACGATAAATTACTGTTTAAAGCTTACATACTGTGGCTCCCAAAAGTGTTCGTACACTTAAAACTTTCAATGAAATAGGGCTCTATTCATTAATTAGAAGGAATATTTCAAAATGGTTAGATAATAATAAGGTCTTAAATGCATTCTTTAAAAAAAAAAAAACTACATGAAAAATTTTAAAAACAAAGCAAAAGTTAATATTCATTCTAAAATATCCATTTTAATTAATGAATTGAGTAATATTTCATTGAAAATCATAAGTTTACAAACACTTTTGAGAGCCACTGTATATATTTTTAAGTCCTTAGTTGATGTTGGGAGAAAATTTGTAGTTTCATTTAAACAAACATTTGATCTTGTCTAATTCGGGTTTGGGGGATTTCAAATCTGAAACTAGTTTTTCACATAAAGTTACAGATTTTTTTTATTCTATTTTTAAGTCAAATTTACAAGTTTAAAAGCGCTATGCACAATGGGGGAGGGAAGAAAAGGAAGTTTCTAAATTGTAAGATTATAAGAAGGAAAAAAAAAAATTATAATTTCATTTCAAAAAGTGAATTTCGATCATAACTTCAATTAAATACTATGTTATTAACTTTAATAACGAAATTTATTTTCTGAATAATAGTGAAATTTAACTTAAGCGATGAATAAAACTCTATTTTAAAGTTTTTTGGCTTTTATGTTTTATAATCATATAAATGGATATAATTGCTTTTTTGTTTTGTAGCAGCATTTGTTTAGATTTAATTAAAATATTTTAATTTATTTATTTATTCAATTTTCATTATCTGCTCTTGAGTAAAGGAGGTAATTTTAATCGTATGATTTATATTTCTTTGTTTTCAAACAGTATATAAATATTAAAAAAGTCATATTTGAATTTTACGACTATATTTTTACATAACTTATTTAGTCCCAACGTTTTTTTTGTGATCTGATATCAAATAAGGTTGTGAATCTCTGTTGTAAATGATAATAATTTTAGAAAATTTTGTTTTCTGAAAATTAAAATTTATTTTTCATGATCGTAGTGAGATATAATTTTTTTTGGGGGAGGGAGGGAGGGGGGAGAATACAAAATTTGACAATTCAAATTTACTTTCAACCCGATTAATGTTCAATTAAACAAAAAAACTTTTTTTTTCATTCCGACTGTTTAAAAGAAGTCATAGAAATAAAAGTCAAATTGGAAAAAAAAAATTATTATTGGTAATAGGGCTAATTAAAGTGTAATACAAGAAATGTGGGCACTTTCTCATTCTTTACCCTTTAGTTTATACAATAATGAAAGTAAAAAGATAAATTATTAAAAATTATTCTGTATTTGTTTATTCATAAAATATTCGGAAAATATTAAATAAATAAATAAATAAATAAAGCTTCACTTATCATCACGGACCCTACAAAATTTCTAGGAATACTCTTTATGAGTAGTATTTTTTTCTTAGATTTTAAAATTGTTTTCAGATAAGTTTTTATATGGTTTACTTTTATCCTGACGGCTAGAAAGGATAAAAATAAAACAACTCTAATCCTCCAGTTCTTTTTCTGTTCTATTTGACTGATCGTTCAAATCGTTTCTAAGAAATATCCTTACATGCTATTTTAAAACATTTCTTTTTCCAAATTGTTCTTTCTAAACATTTTATAGTCTAGAATATAGTCTCCAAAATTATCTGTTAGCCTAACTAGCATATTTAATTTTTTTGCCCAATTTAACTTGTTTACTAACTTGAAATTGATTTAAAAAAATAAAGCGCCATATCGCACATCGAATTTGTTTAATTATGATTCCTTCGCGTTCTTACTTAACTTCCTCTTTTACTACTTCTTTAACTTCTTTTACTTAACTTCTATTTATTTTTTGTTTATGTATTTTATTGTAACCGTGTTATATTTTTGTTTCATGTACCTGGCAACTTGGATGTATAATAAGTTTGTTTATGTTCCACTGGGCTTCATGCCTATCTTTGAGTTAAGTAAGAAATATATAGTGAAAGAACTGAAATCTTTATGAAAGAATATAGAATGTGCATTTTAAGATAATTGATACTTGACGGACTTGGCTTACTCGAAATAAAATGGATAGATCAGTTGCTAACATAAACAAATGCTATGTTTTAACAAGCAATCAGGATGGAGATACCTACACTATGTCACTTGCAGGCATCACATTGTTAAGATTTTTAAAAAAAAAAAAAAATTCTACTTGAGAATCATTTTCTACTTTAAAAATTATTTTTATTTTTATATTTTGAGACANTTATATTATTCCCTAATCATTATTAAATTATTATCTACACAAATTATGTAAAATTTGAGAACTAATTTTATCACGTTTTAGGGAAAATGTCAATGTGGAATTTCTCTATTATTTAAGAGTTGAAAAAAATAATTTTAAAAATCTATATGCAATAAATTTTCTTTTTCAAAAAATTCTTATTATTAATTTTTAGCCTTATTTTACTCAAAAAATTAAATAAAGTTTAGTATCAGTTTAGTACGTTTCAGTTATCAGTTTAGTAAAGTTTAGTACATATCAGTTAATCGAAAACTACAATTACGAAATTTTTTGGTGTTTCTAAAAACACTGTGTCTAAAATTTATTTCGTGAATTTAAGTTCGTTTGCTGAAAATTGTGAATTTTTATTATCTGTTTATCTCTCTCAAAAACTGCTTCAAAACAATTTTCAACTCAAAAACTGTTTGAAATCAATATTCCGTAAGTTTTTTTCATATCGTATTTAATGATACTTTCTGAGAAAAAATAAGTATAAATATTATTTTAAAATTTTAGAAGAAAATTGCTACAGATGTTTTAGAAAATAAAATTGAAAACTGAATGCAAGTATTTCATGAATGTATTTTTGTCTTTCCTTGGTAATTTTATCTAAAACTAATACGTTAATACTTTTGATTATTCTATTATTTTTATGCCGTCGAAAATTGCATGATTACAATAGTTCAATTTGTGGTTATACTTTAATAGATGATTGTTAAAACATGCAAATATTTATTTTCTTGACCAAATTTTAGTTAATTTATGTAAAAAAATTAGGCGTAATTCTTTTTTTTAATAATTTTCTTTATTTTGTTTATTTTTTAATAATTGTAAATTGTTTTTTTTTTGTATGAGTAAAAATAATTTCAAAATTTATTTGAAAAGCTGAAATAATTTTTTTTTTAAATTATGAACATTCCAAATCAACCATTTTATGAATTCTATACATAACAATTAAATTGAAGTAACAGCTCCGCGTGTTTTAAAATGAGTATAAGTTAAAAAAAATTCAAAATTTCTGTATGTTTCTTCCATCTATTGAAATTTCAGCAGATAGCTTTGTTCTAAAAATAATTTCAAATGAACTGCATTTGCGACATTTTAGAATTATGCTTATTTCACGAATTACGAAGTTAAAACCAAATTCCAAAGTTTCATAGAATCTCTGACCTAACTATTGTAGGTGTTAAAACAACAAAACCGATTAGGAATCATAGTTACGTGATTATGAGTCATCAAGGATTTGCTTACACATGATTGCGATATCTTATAAAATCCCTTCTTGCTTAGATTTCATGCAGACTTAGCAATCTATAAACTTTTTCAAAGTAAGAAAAATGACCAAAACATAAAGATTATAAGATTATGTGTTTTATTGGGTAATTTTTAAAATGGATTAATCGATATTTTCATAACTGCGTTAAGTTGTTTTACGATAACAAATTTTTTATTCTATCTTTTTAATTATAAAAATCAACAATAATTTTTCATTTTACTAACGGTTTCTTATAAAAACCTATTTCAAAATGACTTAAACGTGAGATTGATAACAAATTATTTTTAGTAAGAAACTTTAAAATTTAATGTTATAATTTTTATGTTTTAACCTCAAAAATTAGTAAATAAGTTACTAAATCACCTGAAAAAATTTATTTTAAAATTCATTCGTGGTTTGTTAATCATAATTGTCTTTCAAAAATAAAACTAATGATGAAGAGTTACGGATTTCTCTAACTTTTAAAAGAAGTTACAAAGGAAACAATTTGAGAGTGATGATTTAGTTTTTAATTGAAGGAGATTTACACTAAAGTAATGAAGGGTAATAAAAATGGACTATTGTTCTACGAGATTATGCCCACTTAAATGATTCCTACATATTTACTACCTACAGAAATTTTACGCCAACATAAATTTCATTGGAATAATTCTGAATCATTTCACGCTTTCTACATGATCCCAAAATAACCTTTATAATCAATAATGTTTCGTGATAATTATAGCTTTAGATTTGAGAATAGCTGATGTATGAATCTCAAGAAAATTAATAATGATAATTATAAAGTATTTTTAAAATTGAATACTACTAATTGAATGCTACTTATGCCAACATTTCGCATCTTTTTAATATCGTCGGTCATATTATTGGCATTAGCAATATCTGTTATTGTTTGAACTAAACCTTATTTTCATTTCAAAACCAGCGCTATAAAAAATAAATAAATAAATTATACTAATAAAATAAGTAATAATGATCCTGTTAACTAATAAATTGTGAATAAAAATGCATTCTCGAAAATCTTGCTTACACTTTTTTTTATTTGAAAAAGATTTTAAAGCTTTAAAACACATTGGGGGGGGGTGCGAAACTTATGTCATAATTGTTTTTAAATTCTTTTAAGTAACTTGGACTTTATTTGAAACTAAACACTACAAATGTGACCCAAAAAATCTATTCTATGACAATATAAATTGATTTATAGGATCGATCTCAATTATTTACAGCAAGCAAAGCTTTAAATTTTTTTTAAACATAAGAATATGAAATTTTGTATAAGAGCTGCTTTAAAATAAATATTTCGTACTTTTAAATATCATAATTGTATTAATTGTTACATATAGCGAGACAACATTTTAGACTTAGACCCTGACTCCATCGGTGTTGAGCCTTTCCAGTTGCCAAAAGGGATCTTACTTCTCTCAATAATTCCACCTCTGAAAAATATAGTGTGTTACCCAGATCAAAATCAGCACGCGTTTAGATTCATTTAGTTTTATTTCATAAAATGTCTAGAATCTAATGCTTCAATGCAATTTTATCACTTTTATTCCAGAGTATGGGAAAACGCGATACATCTTTCTTTCTTTTTTTTTCCTTTCTAAGGACTAAAAAATGGCTGAACTTATTGATCAAACAAATATAGCACAGCATGTGATAATGAGTTAATTTACACGTTCTCTATGCATTTGCTTAGGTCATAAAAATAGAAATCGAAGAATTATTTCACATGCTTATAATTTTAGTTTTATGGGACGAAAATTCAATAAATCTCATCTTTGATTCAATATTTTTAAGTAAAATGAAGTAAAAAAAAGCTGGAATTAAGAATATAATTGTAACATTGATAGAAAATAATCAGGTGTAAATGGAAATATGACAGAGACTGTTTAATTATAAATTGTAGAGTGTACCACTTAAATCTGTTCAGAACTAATAACTATTAAGCTTAAGTTAGTTAGATTAAGTCAGGAACTTACTTTTAATAATAAATAAAATTTTTATGGATTTTTTGGCTAAAATATTTGTCATAGGAGTAGAACAAGTAAAAATTATATAGTAATTAAGGACAAACAAACGAGGTATGCTTTTAAAATTTAACTTTTAAAAAAAAACTCTTCTTCGCAAAAATCGAAAAATGTGCAAATTTTTATTTTCTATAAATTGCGCATGATTATTTCCTGTATTAAAATGAATGTGTAAACGTTTAATCCCAGGATGAAAAAAAATCCCAACATGCAGACAACAAATTAAACACATCATTATTTGATAGTATCTTTATTCTGAAGAAATACAGAGGATTTTTTTTAATTAATTAAATACATAGCAAATGCATGCATAAAAACAATTTGTGTTTTACAGTATATGAAAACTTAGAGCTTTGCTATTCAATTATATAGTATTTATGCTATTAATTAAGCATTTTCACATTTTATGGGAAAATTGCACTAATTCTACAAATTTTCCTTCTATTTCAACTAGGATTTGTATTAGAATGTATTAAAATTGTTAGTGTTAAAATTGTAACCAAGGAACTTAGCTAAATTTTTATTCCTCACCCTTCTCTCTCGTAAATATAATTTTTAACGCTCTGGAAAGTTCCTAAACTAAACTCTAGACTGAAGTAAACTGTCTCCAGTGTTTTGCTCAAAAACTATAAAAAAACAACATCTATTTAAAATCTAGAAAAGTTTTACAGTTTACTAAATCTCTTATTTTATAAGAAATATAAACAGCTATGTATTTTTTTTACTCTATTTATTTACAGTAAATTCCGCTAATTCTTATTTCATTATGCAAATTTAACTACCATATTTATGCATAAAGGGTCAAAAATTATAATGAATTATTGCAATATCTGAAGACATTTTTCAGAAATACCATTTAAGTTTGCAACCTAATCATATATCAAATATATTTTTTCATATCAACCTATATTTTTTCATATCAACCATATATTTCATATCAACCTAATCTATTTCAAATATATNTTTCATTATGCAAATTTAACTACCATATTTATGCATAAAGGGACAAAAATTATAATGAATTATTGCAATATCTGAAGACATTTTTCAGAAATACCATTTAAGTTTGCAACCTAATCAAAACTATTTAAAATATATTTTTCTGTAGAAATTACAGTAAATTTTTAATTTTAATAATTTGCGATAATAAAACTTTTTATATTTTCCTTTAAACATTTTCCACTTTTGTGCATAATAGAAGGGATTATTATACTACAATAAATGGTAGACTAGCATTGTGTTAAATTGAACATTACATTCCCACACAAATTAAATACTAAGTTCAGTTGGACAGTTAGATTCAATAGATATGTAAAATCTGAGAACAAAGGTAAAAATTTTCATATTGAAAAATATTTTTTTCTTTTATAATATTTTTTCTCTCTATTATAATACTCTTAGTTACTATAAGAAATTGCAGTATTTATATACGATGTAATTAAAACCATAACGCTCAATGCTCTATTTGTAGAAAAGAAAAAAGCCCTATTCAATAAATAAATATATTATTTCCTCGAGTTTATTAATTTCATAAATATTTTATATATTATGTCCTAACTAGATTTAATAATAGTTTAACATCTAGTTTAGGTCAAAATAGGTGCATAAATACATAATAATTTATTCTTTTCTCGAAATCATATAAATCAAAATAAAAGTTAAATGATTTTTTTTCTTAATTTCAGTGTTTGGAATTGAATGTATTCTAGGTACAACTCGCAGGTGCTCATAATTACTTAAATTGTAAATAAATATATGCATTTATTACTAAGCATGCGAGACCAATATTTGCATTTTTTTCACTGACTATATATATTTATAATTATTAGGAATATAATCCAAAATGTAAACGGTATAATCGGTCAAAATGTAAATAAGTAAGTTTTACCGAAATAAAAAATTTTCATTGCTGAAAATGTCTAACACATATTTTTTTTATATTTATAAGCAATTCATAAGCAGTTCGTAAGGATAGAACTAACTTACAAAAGTGTTTAGATATTCCCCAAATAACTTCCAGATATCTTGAGATTTTATGGGCAAATCACAAATTAACATCAAGCTAAAATCCCTCCATAAAGAAGAAACGTAAACAATGTTTACATATTTCATAAATAGTTCCTAGGCATTTTAGAATTTATGAATAAATTACCATATAATATCAAATTAGATATTACAAACAAAAACAGCAATTTTCTCCTTGAAATCTATGTCTCTGTAGTAGCTTTGGACACAGTATCGATGTTGCCATTAGAAGCATTTTCAGCCTTCTCTTGGATGCAAAGCCAAGGTAATCGCTTTTGTAGCTCCAGTCGGTATCTAGGATGACTTATAGCGTAAAAGAATGGATCGAAACAGGCGGATGCTTTCAATGTAAGTGCTGGAATCATTGATATTATTGGGGTGATCTTTCTCTCACTGGGATCTGAAAAACCAGCCAAAAATGCTACCGAGATGTAAGGAACCCAAGAAAAGAGGAAAAGGATGATAACACAGAATGCTGTTTTTGCAATCCGTACTTCAGCAGACGAGTTATTCATTGCTGCATTGGATCGAATGCTGTCCACGTTCATTTTTCTTGCCTAAAACGAGCATTTGACAATTTTTTACTTGGATGGAAAGGATTACAAATATAATGAAGAAATATTAACAAATTCAAAAAATATTACTAATCTGATAAAAAAGATGGTACAGTAATTAATTATTGACAAATTTTTACCTTAATAATACTGCAAATGGGTGAAGCAATCGTGCCTTTAATAATAGAAAAATATAACTTGGTACACATATACTACACATGCGAAGCTTTAATTATGGATAGGAGTCCCTCTGGGATTTAACCCATAACAATAATGGCGGCCTCTGAAAACTTTTTATATGCTCTTTAAAATGTTTTTTGACGATTTTTATTGATATCTATTAAATAAATGATGAACACATCATATTTTGTGCATGCCCTTGAGGCAATAAATATTACTTGTTTACATTGTGCATCGGCCCCCACTATTACTTTTTTTTTTCATGATAAACAAATTGTGACACTAAAAGCATCCTGTTTTACTCTATTTTTATTAATGCATGAAATTTTTAATAGTGTATCATTAATAATATATTTATCTAAATCAAATTTCATGGATTATCTAATGGTATGAATTAATTAATGTTAAAGTATTTTCGCTTATTTTATAGCATATTTTTTGTACTGCTAGACAGTCTATAATGAATTGAATGTATAAACTCAATATAGATTGGATTTATATGATAGATTAAATTCAAAATTTGATACCGCCAAGTTTCATAGGGAACCACAAGCACAAAGAGCAATACACTGAGAGAGAGAGAGCCATCTTACATTGTCCACTGTCGTGTACAACCATTCTTGCAGCCATATTGTCAAAGTTTAAAGCGAAACTTTGGTACTTGGTACTTCTCATACATCTTCAACTTTCTTTTAATTGCCCTAACAACTTAAGGTTTGAAGTACTGTTGTTGAGACCATCATGTGAACCCATTAGTAGCTAGATTGATAGACAGCTCTCTTTGTAGGCTGAAGAAAAGCATTTTGCGAAGGTTTGAAACCACAAATGGTTTGATATGGTATGAAACTACAAATAATCTAATCTATTATGCGTTAATTTACTACTATTTCTACACAAACTACATGTACAAAAATTAGACTTTAAAATGAATTTGTTTAACCAAATTTGAGTTAATATAATATGAAATTTTGGGATCTTTCAATCGAATAATTTTTAATTTCAAAGAAAAAATATGTTCATAGTTAATAATACAAATTTATCGAGAAATAATCGTGGAGTTGATTAACGAAGCTAGCTGGTAGTGAAACCCCCGACATGTTTTGGTTAAAATAGAGAATTTCATGCACAAGATTTCAAGTTTTCGTCCTATCTTTAGTAAATATTATTTAAAGTAGCAAAAATTTTTTTATAAAAAGTGCATCAAAAACTAATTATTCCATAAAATTTGATTTAAACAAACACATTTTAGTGAAATATGGCATATATTATTGAAAATAGAATAATACATAATATTTTCCATCTACAAAATGATTGAGGAGTAATAGTGGGGACCAGTGAGCAGTTGGTTTATTTTGCTCGAAGTAACAGATATTGGTTAAAATAGAAAACTGTATCCACAAAATAGTGAATGTTTCTCATATCATTAATATATATCACTCGAAATCGTTAAAAAAACATTTAAAAAGAAAGCAACAAATCCGCCTTTCTGAAAGTTATAAGGTGACTGTGAAGGAAATTGTTACATGCTACATTTGAGATGGTCATCCATCCAAAATTAAAGTTTCATATGGTGTGGTATGTGTATGCCAAGTTTTAAGCTTCGATTATTAATGGCGTTATTCATTCATATATTTCACCAGTCTGTCGTACTATTGAATTCCTACCTCTTCACACTGAATTTTAAAATAGGTCTTAAAAATTTATTTGTTCGTAGCATGCTACAATAATGAATATCTTACTGAAAAATTTTCAAGCTCCTAGAAATAATTTTTCGGGAGGACGTATAGGACATCTGAACAAAAAATACAAAAACGTGTTCTAGGTAAAAATTAAAATAGAGTAGCAATGATTGAGGCTGTCTTAATTTTAATCTTAAATAATTTTGGGAATATTCTTAAAATAGTATTATCTCCTTCACTCGGAATTTTTAAATAATCAAGAAAAAAAATTTTCTTTCAAAACATAGCATGTTACAACGATGAATATCCCATTTGAAAATTTTTAAGTATCTGAAATAAATTTTTAGACAGTTATAGTGGATAAAATAAGTGAATACAAGAGAAATAGTGGGTAAAACACGAAAAGTGGAATTCTGAAAAAGAAACACAAAATTAAAAGATAGTAGCAATAATGAAGGTTATCTTAATTTTAACCTTAAATAACAGGGATATTCTTCAAATTTTGAAATAATTTAGTAAGAGATTTTTAGGAAATTCTAACAGTTTTTGGATAAAATCTGAAAATCTCAACAAAAAAAAGGCCCAAATCAAATCAGAATATTCTTTCAAATTTTCCATTGATTAATTTTACTAAATTAATTTTTAATAGAACCAAACAAAGTATTAATTAAATACATCCCATTTCAACACAACTTTATGAAACTTAATACCGAAAACAACTTTTTTCAGAAGTTCCATGCAGTTGTCTGTCAAGGAATAATTTTGAAAAAACAATAATAAGATTTTCTACCCTCAAATAAACTAAAAATTGTGTTTCTGATTATTATTAAGTAAATTATGCAAGTTTAAAAGTGAACTTCAAATAAAAAAGAATCACCTTATTTCGGAAATAACTACTTCACTTTAATCAAGTTTCACATATTTTCTAAACAAATAATATTATATTTTAGTTTTTTTCCAGTTTTATTGTAAAATTGTTTTGATTCCACTATTATAGCGGAAGATAAAAAAAAAATTAAAAATGAAATTTTGCATAAAATATGTTAATATGATTTAAAATACATTTTTATTTCTTCTAATAGCTCATAGAATATAGTGAATATAGCAGACTTTTAAAATAACTTGATACAATATTTCATATAATTCAATCACAATGCTTTTGAATTTACGTCTTGAATCACTATTTACAACTAAGTTTGGTCGTACCTGTTCTTTTATTTGCAATTCATGATTTCTTACAGCAAGAAATATCCTAAAGTAACAATACAGAACTGTGCAAATAGGAATAAACCAACCAAAAAACCATGTCCCCACTATATAAGATCTTCCATTAAAGTCGTGCATAAAGAAATCTGCAGCACAACTGGTCAGGAAACCTTCTGGCACAAATCGGCTCCAGATTTCGAAAGCAGGCAATAAAGCAAAAGGGGTTACATAGATGTAAATGAGAATCAGGATGCAGATTGCTTTTGCCAACGTCATCCCAGATTTACTGAAGGGATGGACGATAACTCTATACCTATCATATGATATGAGGGCGTTGCAAAAGGCTGAGCCTATACCTGAATAAGCTCCAACAACACCGTAGATGGTACAACCTATAAATAATACAGAGCAGTAAGTAAGATTGAAAAAATATTTTCACAACTATTTTTTGTTACTATGAGAAGTTAATGTTTATAAGATCTTCATTTTCTACTGAAAGCAAATTGAAGTTGAGGTATTTAAAGTTGATGGATTTAAAGAAAAATGTCAGTTTAAAAAATTAAGAGGAAACATTATTTTGGTCATTGTTAGAATAATTATGATTTAGAATTTATCTTTGAAGCAGTAATTTATTTCAAACAAATAAAATATTACCAAATACGATGATATATGGCACTGTAGAGCAATCATGGAAAAATCATTCTGTAAAGATATTTTGACCTGGCTGCTATGTTCCTCAGGAAAAATTCAGTTGATATTTATACTTTTATACGGTTACAAATCGTTTTTTCGATCGTGTTGGGTGGATTTGTATGGAATTTTAATTTTTGGATTCTTATAAGCGTTTCAAGTTTTCTGCTAAAATTATGCAAATAATTTATCTAAAACAGCTGAAATTATATATTTTTTTTAAGTTAAAGCATTTTTACTTTATCCATGAATAAGGATAAGGTAATAAGGCTTTAAATTATTTAAAAACACAATTCAAGTTATCGATATTTAACTTCAAATCCTAAAAAATATATTTTTTCATAGAACCAGCTTAAACACTCTAAAGGTCCTATTTATGCAAAATAATAATAATATTGAATAAAATCTTTTTTGAAATTTTTAATATTTGAAATGCTCCTCCACAGCTTAAAATATAAAAATATGGAGAAGAAACCAAAACTTAAAAAACACATTCAAATGTTCCAAATTTTGCATTTTTTTTTGTATTTATTTTAAGTGATAAAAACAATTTAAAACTGCTGAGATATAATATATGTAAAAAAAATCTCTATATTGTAGTAAAAGCATAAGATATATTACACTTAAATCTATAATTTAAAATACAGATCTACTGCTTAAAAATTTCAAAAATGCATAATAAATTAAGTGGATACTTAACCTAAACTTCCAAATACAGGTCCAAGTTGAAAAGAGTTGTAAATGAAAACTGGTGTTTTGGCCATCATAAGTAAATCTGATAATGCAAGACCAATTACAAACATATTAGCAGGTGTTCTTAGATTTCTTGCTCTNTATTTCAATGCAATAAAGTTTCATCAAAACAAATAATATTATATCTTAGTTTTTCTCCAGTTTTTTTGTAAAATTGTGTTGGTTCTACTATTATAACGCAAGATAAAACATTTAAAAACTAAATTTTGTATAAAATATGTTAATATGGTTTAAAATACATATTTATTTCTAATAGCTCATAGAATATAGTGAATATAGTAGACTTTTAAAATAATGTGATACAATATTTCGCATGATTCGATTACAATGCTTTTGTAATTTACGTTTTGAATCACTATTTATAACTAAGTTTGATCATACCTGTTCTTTTATTTGCAATTCATGATTTCTTACAGCAAGAAATATCCTAAAGTAGCAATACAGAACTGTGCAAATAGGAATAAACCAACCAAAAAACCATGTCCCCACGATATAAGATCTGCCATTAAAGTCATGCATAAAGAAATCTGCAGCACAACTGGTCAGGAAACCTTCTGGCACAAATCGGCTCCAGATTTCGAAAGCAGGCAATAAAGCAAAAGGGGTTACATAGATGTAAATGAGAATCAGGATGCAGATTGCTTTTGCCAACGTCATCCCAGATTTACTAAAGGGATGGACGATAACTCTATACCTATCATATGATATGAGAGCGTTGCAAAAGGCTGAGCCTATACCTGAATAAGCTCCAACAACACCGTAGATGGTGCAACCTATAAATAATACAGAGTAGTAAGTAAGATTTAAAAAATATTTTCTCAACTATTACTTGTTACTATGAGAAGTTATTGTTTATAAGATCTTCATTTTCTACTGAAAGCAAATTGAAGTTGAGGTATTTAAAGTTGATGGATTTAAAGAAAAATATCAGTTTAAAAAATTAAGAAGGAACATTATTTTGGTCATTGTTATAATAATTATGATTTAGAATTTATCTTTGAAGCAGAAATTTATTTTAAAACAATAAAATATTACCAAATGCGATGATACATGGTAAAGCAATCATAGAAAAGTATTTTTTAAAGATATTTTGACCTGACTACTATGTTTGTCAGGAAAAATTCAGCTGATTATTATAGTTTTATCATGGTCGATCGATCGTGTAGGGTGGATTTGTATGGGATCTTAATTTTTGGATTCTTATAAGCGTTTCAAGTTTTCTGCTGAAATTATGCAAATAATTTATCTAAAACAGTTGAAATTATGTAATTTTTTTTAAGTCAAAGCATTTTTACTTTGCTCATGAATAAGGATAAGGTAATAAGGCTTTAAATTATTTAAAAACACAATTCAAATTATCAATATTTAGCTTCGAATCCTAAAAAAAAACAGACTTTTTCATAGAATCTGCTTAAACACTCTAAAGGTCCCATTAATGCAAAATACTATGAATAATAAATAAAAAATAAAAAAAATTTTAATACTTAGAACGCTCTTTCACAGCTTAAAATAGAAAAATATGGAGAAGTAACCGAAACTTAAAAAACACATTCAAAAGTCCCAAATTTTGAATCTTTTTTTTGTATTTATTTTAAGTGGTAAAAACAATTTAAAACTGCTGAGATATAATATATGTAAAAGAAATCTCTATATTGTAGTAAAAGCATAAGATATATTACACTTAAATCTATAATTTAGAATACAGATCTACTGCTTAAAAATTTCAAAAATGCATAATAAATTAAGTGGATACTTAACCTAAACTTCCAAATACAGGTCCAAGTTGAAAAGAGTTGTAAATGAAAACTGGTGTTTTGGCCATCATAAGTAAATCTGATAATGCAAGACCAATTACAAACATATTAGCAGGTGTTCTTAGATTTCTTGCTCTAAAAGGAAATAAATGTAATGAGAACGCGCCAAATAAGCTCTTACAAAGCAGGACACCATTTTTTAGGGAATTTTTTTTAAGTATAACTTGTGTCATTTTTACAAGTTTTTAGAGGATCTCGAAAATCAGATTTAGAGAAACTGGTTAAACTATTACATGAAAATTGAAAAAATTTATACAGGTTGCAAAAAAGTTTGGAGACGGTCAAATATCTCGGGAAATGTATATGGGATTAAGTTTGTGAAACTGGACACAGTCAATATTTTTTAAAGGTTATCCTATGATTTCGAACTCGATCTTTCACTCCCACCTGGGGGTTGACACCTGGAGGTTGGAGGGGGCCAACTTTAAAATCTTAAATGTAAACCCCAGGTTTTTTATTGCAAATTCTGTTTGCATGAGGAGTTAAAGCTAAAACGTATTTTTTAATGTCGCGAAGTTGAGTAAAATAGCGATACAGAAATAGGAAGAACATGTATTACATATTTCAAACTCGAAAATTGATATTTAAAGAAAGCGTTGCTTGCAGTGAAAAAATAATGAGTTAGAGCTATTGTTTCTAAGTCTCAATCATTTTTAAGCATAATGTTGATAAAAAATATTTTTGTGTAAATACTAGTTATGATAATACTTAACAAATATAAAACCTACTCTGTAATGTATAAGTTTGTATCGTATTCATTAAATACATACTTTTCAATACGTGCATCTGTGTAGTCACATTTTACAACTGTTATTTAACCAGCATATGCGACTTAGGTACAAAACAAAATGAAACAAACACCTCTATATTTAGTCAATGTAAACAATCCTTCTTTTAACGGCGAATGTTTTGGAATATTTCACAAAGCAAAACTATTGGCACAATTTGAAAAAATCATGCCTAAAGCTTTTAGAAAGGATGTCCTTACCTATGCAAAATTTCCATCTTTTCTTTCCTAATACCTCGATAATTCTAAAACCATTCTTAGATAAAGATTGCAATCCCATTGAATGATTTCAAAATTGCTGGTATTAAAGTTGCTAACTTTCTCTCTTCATTTTGCTCCTAAAGAATTTTGCAGAGATGAAAATGACAACAGATTGTGCCAACAAATTTGCAGTGTAAAATCTTCTGTAACATTTGTTGCTAAAAGACAAATTACTTACAAAGGGTTAGAAGTGTTCTCCTTATTTTGTTCTGTACCAGTAGCTATTTTTAGAAAGTCTAACAGGAAGTAGCATCTATTCAGTAGCACTGGTATCGATATTTATTTTAATAATTTTGTTGATTGGAAAGAAGATCCCCAATCCTAAATATAGCCACTTTGCCTGTCTTTCCATTGTAAATAGCACAATCTTTATTGTGATGTAAGAAATTGTCAAAAATCATTTTGTAAAACTCACACTAAAAATATATAGATGACTATTCCATTTCCAATGCATGAGACTACCATCAAAACTACGTAGAGTATACCTAGTAAGTAGTGCAGGTAGGGTGCAGGCGCCCTGAATTGTTTCCAGTAGGGGCTGACATAAACATCAGGAGGAGCGTTCCAACCGTTGAAGCGTGTCTCGTAACACCACGATGGCGGACCTTCATCCAAGAAGGTTGGTGAATAAAGTGATGATGCGTTCAACATTCCCCAGCGAAACTGAAAATTAAACATTTTTGATCATCAGAAATCTCCCCTATACCTTTTTTGAAACATCCATGATTATATGTAATCGAGTTTTCTAAAAGCACAATTGAAGATATTATGAAAGAACTTGTTAAAGTAACATTATTTAAATTCTACATTTTCAAGGTTTTAAAACACGTAGTTGTAATTATTGACTGTAAACATAGAATCAAGTAACATGTAAGGTAATTGATAGTGATTCTATATATTCCAAAACTAATTTCGTCTTCTCCCTTCGTGTCATCTAACATGGTCTGGGTATTGGAATTCCTATAGAGTTTTCAATACTGAAAGATGTTGCTCCAATAAAAGCACAACTGAAGATATTATGGAAAACCATGTAGTGTTACGTAATTTAATTTCTACATTTTTCAGGTTTTCGAACTAATAGTTATATTTGTTGGTTGTGAACATTGGTATATTATGTTTTAAAGTGAACCCTCTACAGTTACATATTAAGGTAGTTTACGATGGAACTTCTAGATGTTTCAATACATTCTAAAACTGATTTTGTCTACTCGCTTCATGTTATTTAGTATGTTCTGGACATTGGAAATCCAATAGAGTTTTCAATTCTGAAAGATCTTACTCCAATCAATGAGATAAAAAGAAGAGCAGCGAATTTTATGAGAACAAAAATGTCGGCGAAACTAACATAGATTGATAATGTAATTGTTGCTGGCAAAAAAATAACACTGTTTGATATTTTATCAATTCAACAAAAATAGGAAATTAAATTTTTTCAACTAATTTTAGTCACAACCCTAAAATGTTTCGGAATATTTTTGGTTATTAAAGATATATGCTGTGAAAAATAAAATCTGAACAAAATCAGTAAATTCCAACAAAAAATTATTAGATCACTTTATAGCTGCCGTGTGAATTAAAAATATATAATTTAGGACATTCGTATATAACTAACTAAATTGAGCTTCCTTAATTATTTATTTTAGTTTAAATGTATAGAGATAAGAACAATATAATCCAAAGAGTTAAGTTATCGTACTGCTGCCAAGGTGCCAAACTCGATGCTATATTTTCTCGCTGTGTGAAATGTCTACAGACAAGAAATTTAATAATATACTTAACTTTATAAAAAACTTAAAAGTAGAAAAAGATAGAGAAATGGACTACATGCATAATAAATTTTATCAATTATAAATTTTAACAATTCTATGCGTATGTTAAAACTTTTAAAGATGAAAAAAAAAAATAATGAAGAGCGATAGCATTCGTTCCTTATTTGAATTGTTGTAAGTCTCTTCTACCAGTTAAATTACTTCTCATATTTATATCTTCTGTGAGTCACATAATTGTTATTCCTTAGACTAAATTTTTCTCTTGAAAAAATTGCACAGATTATTTTTCAAATCCAGGTAATCATCCATTTTGTTACGATTAACATTTCCACAAAAGGTTCTTAAATGAAGTTACAGTAATTATATATTTTTAAATCAAAATGTTCTGTGATTTTATCGAAATTATTGACGTTAAAGAAAAAAAAATTATTAATGAGAAGTGTTCCAATTGCACTTGATCATTACTAGTCTTTGAGCTCCTCAAAATACCTAAATCCAAAATAAAAAAATGAAATAAAATAAAAAGGAGACAGACTAAATTCTTGTGACGATATCTCGAAGAAATCCCGGCAGAAGCGAATAAATTGTTAAAAACAACGGGTACTAGTAATAGTAACACTATATTGCACGCATTTTATATTTTATTTAATGATAAAAATCAGCCTACGGAAATTAAAGCAATAATGGTAGGCCATTTGAATGCTACGAAAATAGTATGAAAAACGAAAGAAGAAAAAAATGAATGTATGTCACAACATTTGCCCACACATTATAAAATTTTTCTTTCCTGTCACTTCAAATATTTTAACTCAAAATAGGCAGACCAAAATCAGGTGATCGAACACATCTGCAGATGTAAGTAAAATGTTAAAAAAATATCATTAAAAATTAATAAACAATTTAAAATGCATAAAAAAGTTATGGAAAGTGAAAGAAAATATTTGGAATAAAAAAATAAATAAATGAGGAAAGCAATTTTAATAAAAAATAATCTGTATCATCATTAAAAACAGTCATATGCTTCGGATAGTTAAATTCATGAAATGTGTGTATCATGGAAGAAATGTAAATCATTACAAATTTAAAAATATTGTGAAAATATTCCTTTCATCGCGATCGCAAACATTTATACGCATCTGTCAGTTAAATTAATGGAAGGTGTATATCATGGAAGAAATATGAATCATGGCAAATTAAAGAAATTGCGATAATATTTTTTTTGCCAGAATTGCAATCATTTATACGCATCTGTCAGTAAAATGTCAAGGAATGTGTATATCAGGGAAGAAATGTAAATCATTACGAAATAAAAAATTGCGAAAATATTCATTTCATCGCAATTGGAAACATTTATACGCATCTGTCAGAAAAATTTCAGGGAATGCATATATCAGGGAAGAAATGTAAATCATTACAAAATAAAAAATTGCGAAAATATTCATTTCATCGCAATTGCAAACATTTATACGCATCTGTCAGTTAAATTAATGGAAGGTGTATATCATGGAAGAAATACAAATCATTGCAAATTAAAGTAATTAACATAATATTTTTTTCGACGGAATTGCAAATATTTATACGCATCTGTCAGTTAAATTCTTACCACTAATAGATAGATATATAACAAATACTTTTGATACAATCGCCATTTTATTTTTTTATCTAATTCATTTTATTTTTAGAAAATAATAAGATTTTTAATACTTACAATTTTTTTCTGAAAGTTATTTTGATGAAATAGCTAAGACTGGATTTATCCAAGTACGGATGTGGTTACATAGTGTGGATGTGCTTTTTCTGTGATGAAATGACTCTTTGTGTCAGGTATTACAAGAAGAAGCCATACTGCGGCTTCGATGTTAGTTACGCGAAAAAGGCAAGTTCCAACAGTAACAAAAAATTTCTATTCGATGTCATTCTTTCTTTTGTATTTATGAAAGATAATGATCAAACACTGAAGCCAGATCTTTGAAAGCGGAATGATTAGAAAATAAGACGTTTGACATAATTGAGAAAACGCAAGTAAAGTAGATCGAGTAGTAAGGGAATTAAAAATGGATCAAGAAATCAAAAAATAAAAATAATAAATAACGAAATGAGATGTAATACAAAATTATTGTGTAAAATATGTTAACAGGGTGCTCTATAATCACAACCTATTTTGAAAGTTCTCGTCAAAAAGGAAAATATTATAACTTACACTAAAAATCCCAAATTAATATTTAAGAAGAAAATAAACATTATCATGATTTGACGAATCCTTATCAAAGTCAATCACGAAAAAATAGGCTTCAAATTCCGTTTAGTTTTTGGAGGAAATTTTAAAAATTTTTTATCAATCACTTTTCCCTTCTTTCACCACCTTTCAGTTTCATCCGAACTAATTTTTTTTAATTTTTGTATTCCCGTAAGATAATATTTTATGTCACTTGTACTTAAATCTTTTCTCACCCAGCCCTATACTTAACACAAATGGAGGCTATAGCTAGTCATCTCAGCTATCCAGAAAACTATTAAATCGTTACTAAATTACAAATTTTTTGAAAATTGCACTTAACCCTTTTTTTACAGCCCATATCCCACCCAGATAATTAGAACTCAGATGATACACCTTTCAAATGCGACGGAATCATGCTTCTTTTTCTTTTTAAATTTTCAATTAATGCATAGAATGAAACGGTTTGAAAGAACTGTTTCGATTTTCTTCCTCACAACTCCATCTGATCTCAATAAAAGCGATAGTCTATTCAGGGATGGTGAACCAATGGCACGCGTGCCATTTATGGCACCCGACACAAGATTTTGGGCACGCCACCGATCACATTTGTTATTACAAAATTATGAATTGTTATTACAAAAATGTTATTACACTATGAATTGTTATTACACAAATGTTATTACACTATGAAGCATATGTATAACAATTAAATTAAAATTCACAAAAAACACACAAAATAATAAACAATTACTAATAAAAAAAATTTCAATTAATGCTAAAAAAAAACAATAAATAACCATAAAAAACTAACAATAAATAACTAGCAAAAAAAATTAACAGTCCTGTTTAAACTAACATTTTACAACATTTGCCATTAACATTTTGCCATCGAATCTGCAACAACAGAAGTCACACTGATGTTACTTTAAGTTGAATAACACGTATAACTGAGACATTGCAAAATATTTTTTTTCAAAGTAAATAAAGAGCTTTGAGTTAATAGTATTTAGTATTATTATTTTCCCAATAATCACAAAGTCAAAATTATTTGACGGCACGTCTATGACCTCATCAAACAATTTTTTAGAAAATAATGGCAGTTGAAGCATAAAGGTTCGCCACCCCTGGTCTATGTGAATGCTTTCTAATAATAACTCGAGAGAGGGAGCAACGATTTAGATCGTGTTCTTACGGTGAGGCAGTTCGCCCTGTAGTCCAATCGCCCAACTGTCAAATTCCAACGGAAATATAACAAGAATCCTATTTATTTATTTATTTTATTTTCCTTTCTTTGCTTTTTTTTCTTTCTACAGTTTACTAATCTTTATGGGCTAGTTTGAGTTTGTAAAGGATCACCAGTTCCGGTATCAAATATTTTAAGCGCAATTTCTAAAATTCTATTGCTGAAACTCATTGTTACAGATTCAATCTTTCCTTAATATCTCTTGAATGGCTTCACTGATGAATGCAACTTATTATTGTTAAAGATTTAAGATGAATAGCTTTTGTATCAATTTGTGATATTTGTCATCTTTCCAAGAGCAATAAAAAAAAAATTTTTTTTCGTTGATCTTTGCTATCATGGAAACAACAGCCTCGTTCGTAACAAAATATTTCATAAGAAATAGAAACAGATGAAATTTCGAGAAAATACGTACTTGAAGTCCCCTTAACTGAAGGGAAAACAAAAACGCAGGCTAACAGACATTATCAAAAATTAAATAAATACTGTACTCAACCATTACAGGTAATTTTAAGCATAACTATACTTACCCAAAATGCATTTGAATTTCAAGAAGTTTGAATTTATTAAACTTAAATTCAAAAACTTTTTGTTACCAATTGATAATAATAATTTAGCATCTTTTTTAAACACAAGTTTTTAATTCTCAAACTTTAGGTTATGATAATTTAAAATGCAGATATAATTCAAATTAAAGATGAAATTTAATGATGCAATTTAATTTAAAGTTTAAATGAATATAATATAAAATTTATTTTAAAAAAATCTGTTACAGGAACTATAAATCTAAGTTTGTCAACATGTTGGAACAACGCCAGGTTCTGATTTACTCAGGTCACTGAGACTGCTAATAATACTCATAAGTAAATTAAATACGACAAAATTGTAAATATACCAGAGATAATAATTTAATATGACGTTATTGTGAGTGTTGCTGCAGTTTATTTGGGCAACGAGAATATTGGCCGAAACGTAAAACTAATATAAATTAGCCAAATTGGAAAAAACCACAATATGTTATTAAATGTCGGGACAAGTGTAAAATCCCGTTGACCAGGAAAGTTAGAGCGAATTCTGCTAAAATGAGAATAAGTCATTCCATATTGCAACCAGTGCATATTTTGCCTAATGAAATACTGTTAGATTTTAATATAATAGTTTTCTAAGAAATGTGTTAAAACAACAAATATTTCCCGGAATTCGTAAATAATATTTTTGCGTGAATCGAAATCAAAACTTTTCATTTGATCGTTTTTCCTTTAAAAAAAAGTGAGTGAACTTGGTATATACAAGCTTAAAATCGGGAGACTTCTCAGTAAGTCCTCTGGACGTAAATATTAAAAAAAAGTGCAATGTTTAAAGAATAGTTTAAAAAAATTACTCTGTTAAACCTAAACTAAGAAAGCTATGTCATTCAAAGTAAATTTTATTGTACAACATTCTATAAGCAATCCAACAATTCCATAGACATTCGCAACTCGTATAATGTAACACATGGGGGGGGGGATACGGATACTTATTAGTACTATACATTAGAAAAGATTTCCAACCTCGATATTACGAGCTTGAAGAAAGACACTAAAAATTTCGGGATATTGAAAATTTAGGATACAAAAAATTTAATATTTTTTATCGAATATCAAATATTCTTTTAATCGGTTTAATTAATAACTTTACTATCATTTCAAAATTTCCATAACATGTATTTAGTTCAAACAAAACTTATTTCAAACACTTTCAATATTTTTACTCTTTTTATTTGAATAATTAGCTCACGTTCCGCTATCTTATTTTTCTGATAAATTTCTTAATGCTTAGCTTCTTTTTTAAGATTTCCGATTTTTTCTCATCACCACATACTGAAACATTATTGTTTACAGTAACTGTTATCTCATAAACATTAGTTTATTTTGGATTCATTAAATTTGTAAGTTCTTTTCTATTTTATAAGCAGATGTTCTGATTTATACATATACACCTGGCACCTTCTTTAGGAATGGATAATGCCAGTATTTTTGTTTTTAAACATAATAATCTTTTTCCTTGTAGACTTTCAAGACAAGATTCATAACATTGTTTTAAAAAATTCTTAAGATTTTAAATTCTAAAACAGGTTTTAACTAATTCAGAAATCAGGAGGAATAACTTTTTGGAGATGAAAACGAATTCGTGGGTCACTGAGAAAAAAATTCGACTAAAAGAGTTTTTTCTTTTCTTTTTTTCCAGTTACAAAGCAAACAGGTAATAAATTCAGATTTTTTCATGGCATCTGTAATTTCGGGTTATTGAAGTTCGTGACATTGAGGTTTGATTGTATATTGTTGGTAAACATATTTTTTAAACCTTCGTAGAACAAATTATTTCTCTTTGCTTATAGCAGACCATAACCATGTTTTCATACATTGCAAACAGATAGTTTTAAAATTTCACTTTTTCCCCAAAACTTCTTAAATTTACATTTTATAAAAGATTAATTTTTAAAAAAATTAATATAGATTGAAAAATTAAACCTGACATCTTGAACTCTTCATCAGACTATTAAAACGCATTGTAAAACAAAAATGTTGCATACTCACCACTCTCATATTGTCATCAAAAAATATATGGTGTGATGAAGTTGTGGCAATTATAAAGCGCCTACACCCTACAAGATTTAACTGTAAAAAAAGCACATATTTATGATCTCCGGGCTTCGCATAGAAAAGGCTTCAAGTCAGAAAGGTTAAGTTTAACTTACTTTAATCTGAAATGTAAACTTGCAAGCAAAACATAATATGACAAATGATGAAGTAGTATTTTAGTTTTTTACAGGGAAGCATAACTGCCTTAAAACACTAAAAGAGTGTTTTATTATTTTTACCTATTTGTATGGTTAATTAAGTTAAGAATAAATTATTAACCGTGATTATGCGTTAAACTGAGTCATAAATAACTTTTAGTACTACCTGAAACTCTTTATCGAATTTGTTGCGATCTTCTTCAACTTGTATTGTAATAACTTCTTCAACTTGTGTTGTGCAGAAAATAACTCAAAAGTTATTTTATTTTTAATCAAAATTCAATTGAAAAAAAATAAACAAAAGAAAATTGTTACAAAAAAAATTTTCAAACATTTTATTTTTAAGTTGGTTTACTACCCAAATCATAAATAGTATTTTCAAATCAGTAAATAAGCTACAGAGATATCTAAGTTGCCGTCACTTCACTTACCTGTCTATTAGAAATTCATCAATGATCAATTAGTTACAGATGCAACCAATAACAATATGTTTCCATTGAGATAGGAATACAAATCGTCCAATAGGAATGGGGTAAACAGAAAATAATTGAATGATTATAATGGAACACTGATCTAGTTCAGCCTCTGACTTGGACATCTCTATTGAATCTTGAATCATTATTTTTGGTTTTACAGTTAATATATTGAGGAATAGGGGAATTGGGCAACTATTTATGTTACAG